TTCGTATTTTTTTTACGTGATATTTAGTTATTTTTGATTTTTGGATTATCCCACCAATATTAGAGACCAATTTCTAGGATGCTAGCCCAATATTAACCCCACACGGCCTATTATGAGTCTGGAGAGGACAGATTTTACTCTGGAAGTATCGCAAAATCTGGGTAAACACAACTGATGATGCCAGACACAAGAGAGTTTCGGCTAGCGAAAAAGCAGGCCCAATGGCCAAAGGAGGATATGCAAGACCATATGTAAGCCCTTAACCTATACTTGGGATGACAAAAAAAATTCTCCACCTCGTAATGAATCCAAAAAAAGGCAAAAGGAAAAGTGGATAAACGTTAGGAGTGCTAAACGTGGTATGCTTATGCTGAAACATTCCTTACCAAGGCTGGAAAAATCACTGCTACAATTAGACAAGGCTAAACTTAGAGTAATAAAACAATCAGTCACTGGCACCTGAGAAAAAATATATACAACATGGCTATATTCAATGATGGCTGATGATTTGTGGGTTATACAATGAGGAGGAAGAAACTTCCACCCATATCTTCCGTATCATTAAGTTGTTACCCAAGCATAATTTTATTTAAAAGAGATACGTTAAACGTTTATCAAGACGGCCTACATACCGCATCTTGTCCGCAGATGGGAGAGGGAAATTATTGAATTAAACTGTAGTAGAGATGATTATTGAGAAATCGTAAGATGAGGTCTGACTTCACCTCAAAGAAGCCGACTCCTCATATAAAAATATCTTTCGATCCCGACTTCCTGCCCCACCCCTTCAAAATCCAACGTATATAAACATAAAACAGCAATATCTCACTGGGTCTCTCAACACGACACGCAAGAATGGCACAATTACACAGATAAGAAACACTTTAACTGAGTAGAAATACTTTGATTGAATATAAAAAATATTTTTTGCATTGCATAAATTCACATTTTTCCACATCCTACAGGTATTTGTTAATTTTAAACAGTGTTTGTAATCCCAGGCACTGAAGATGATCTCAATAAAGATCGAAACGATGGCACGATAAAGAAAATGTTTTTCTGAAACCTACATCACACTAGACCGCATCTGACGATTTCTGAATAATCAACGACTAACGGTTACTAATCACCACACATTTCTACACGTGTAGTAGAGATGTTTTTGGGAAGAGTGAAGGTTATATGGGAGGATTTCCGTTCCCAGTACTTGCTTTGTCCTGTACTTAAGTGATATGACTATATACTGGTCGTTGGTATCTGGGAAAACAACAACAAGGGCTGACCCCATTATGCAATTAGGAGAAAGACAGCCACCCATATTTTCTTCGACTGCGAATTACTCAGTGAAGACATAATCTGGGATACAAAGAAAATTCAGGGAAAGGAAGTATCAAAGACAGTCGATGTCCTTCTACTCATTAGGAGAAGGATAGTGTTATCGATAATTAAGGAACTAAGAGTGTGCAATAAGCCAGAAGGCTTCAATGCATGGGGAACAAAAAACCCCACTTCCTACTATCCATAATAATAATAATCATCATCATCGCAAAACCGAATAAACCACCTTAGGAATTCATATTGACTCTCATTTCTAAATACAATTCTAGAAAAAATTCTCATTAGACGTCTCCGTCCTAAACTCTAAACTTTAACTTTATCCTAAGATCCGATAGGTATTACAAAATTGGACAAGGTCTTTCTTCCTTTTGGAGCTGGACTACCGCAAGGAGGCATCCTAGGTCCTTTTCTATATATACATTCCTTGCTGCATTCGCAAACGTCACACTTATCCTTCCCCCCAAAATAAAAATAATTTGAAATAATTTTGAATGGAGAATTAACAACTTTCTTCTTATTATGTTTAATTTTGCACAGATTAACTGTAAATATGGTTGATGGAGACAGTGTTAAAAACATGTGAGATTTACACTAGCTCGTAGAAAATTGGATGATATCGAAACGATTAAATATAAGAATTTTAGATTATGTTAGAAACCGTACAAATTTAATATATATGTTAACCTTCACGAAGATTAAGTAGACATTTTAAAACGATTTGAACGAATCTTGTTTGAGTTTGTTAAGCCGTGAAGGTGAATTCGAATAAATAAAAATCGAAGAAATACAGTTTTTCTGGTTGGTTTGAAAATTTCCTCGTTTTCAAATGAGCGATTCTAAGGGTGGCTCTTTAATATCCATAACTCTTGGACAATGCATGTAAATTATTCAGTCCTTATCGCCATTAAGGGTCATCTCACGGGCCGAAACTTGTTTAAAACTGCAATGAACGCTTACATACATAAATAAATTTGTGGATCGGATGATTCCTCGGGTGCAAAACCATGTTAAATTAGCAAATCTTAAATAGCACGTAGAAAAACATTTGTACACTTTATTTGATTCCTTGTAATGATAAAGTCGGCTATAATTGAGAAAAGCCAAGTTTGGGGCTTCAAGACCCCAGGGGAACTTTACGGAGATCCTTTTATAAGAATCAGTTGTTCTCATGTCGAACATAGAAACATATTTTTCAATCTGAAAGAGATATTGTGTAAAGTTGTGTTTACATATAGTCCAATTAACGTGAATCTCTTAGTTATTCATGCTGAAACCGAGAAGCTATCTTTGAACGATCTCTGTTATAAAAGCGCCGGAATAATTTAATAGGTAATAGAAAATCCTATGAATTTTAGCGTTATTCGTTATTACAATTACCACTAATTTCGTGGTCCGCTTGACCAATTAATTTATTACAATTAATTAAGGTTTTTAGTTGAGATAAAAAAGTGAATGGCACGAGCGGGATTCGAACCCACGATCTTCGGCTTGATACGCCGCTGCCCTACCACTTGACCTATCGTGACCTCGATCCACTCGGAACCAACTTCCCATCTCAACCCCACCTTTTGAATTTTCCCTCCTTTTTGCCATTTTTCAAATGTCGTGTAATCGGATTGGATTCTCGACGACAAATGAAATGGCCACGGAGAACTTTAGTGAAGTATACTTCATTTTAAATCATCAAGCCATAAGATAAATGGCAAAAAGGTGGGAAAATTCAAAAGGTGGGCTTGAGATGGGAAGTTAGTGTCCGAGTGGATCGAGGTCACGATAGCTCAAGTGGTATAGCAGCGGCGTATCTAGCCGAAGATCGTGGGTTCGAATCCCGCTCGTGCCATTGACTTTTTTATCTCAACTAAAAACCTTAATTAATTTTAATATATTAATTGGTCAAGCGGACCATGAAATTAGTGAAGTTATTCGTTATGTTTTAGAGTTATTTGTATCGTTTTATGTATTTTATATCCAAAAATTGTTATTATTGAGAAATCGAGAGATGCCGTCTGGTGAGATGTAGGTTTCAAAAAACCATTTTCTTTATCGTGCCAACGTTTCGATCTTTATTGAGATCATCTTCAGGGCTGAAAGTGTTTGTTTTATGCTTAATTGAGCCATTCTTGCGTGTCGTGTTCACAGTGCCAAAAAAATTGTGTTCACCTCCCTCGTTAGCACCAAAAAAACAGTAATATATCGAAAAATGGGGGGTAACTTCTCTCCTTCAACTCCATAATGATGGAAGAACAGTGGCATCACAAAAAATGTTGGTGAGAAGCTTTCCTTAGTTGGAGGTAGTTGTGTAGTGCATCGATTATGCACTATTATTTCTGCTCCTCGGGGCAAATACGGCATGGATCATCTGTAAATAGTTCCATTTTTCAATGTTGTATTTTAGTGGAGCATGAACCTTAAAATTGCTTCTAAGGTTTTTTTAAAATTTTATTATTGTTATTATTATTTTTTGCTTGCCACATGTTTGGCTTACGTTTTGGGTATTTGTTGTGTTCTCCAGCAACCTAGGAGCCAACTTCTTTATTAACGTGGCTTTTTTAATGCCACACAAGGGATTTGGCCTATGTCGTCCCAAAGCTCTATTTTTCGCTAGTATGTGTCACGACATGCGACCCATGTTAGCGTCAGGCGCTTTATCGATCCTAGCTTTTTCGGGTATTCAGGCTGTTCGTGACGAATTTTGAAGAGATCTCGTAGACTTGGGGAGCATTTAGATGTGGCTATTTGAAAGTATTGCTAGTGTTGCACCCTTGAGAGGTTTGCCATTTATTTCATTCCACATGTTTCTATGGCTATCAGTTCAGATGGTTGATGTGGCATCGAGAGCTGTGGTGCTTACATTTAAGCCCATTTATAGTAGGTGTACCATCTTTAACCCTTCCATACACCATAGAAGATCTCCATTTTCCAATTAACTCCCTTTTCAATAATCATGAGTATAAGGAACCTTTGCGGTTGTGGGTGTTGTTTCAATAGTAGTGCTAAAGTATGATATTCTTTGGACTTTTTGTTGTTCCTATGTTTTTCTTTGTACTATTTTTCGCAGCTATATACTTCATGTGTGTCCATGGGTTTCCTGGTTTGTTTACGCATATTATTTACAACCTGCAGCTATTTGAGCGTCTCATCTCTTACTGAATCTCTGCTTTTATATGAAAAATTAAGTCGATATCCCAAAAGGCTACCCTCTCATTTGTACCTCAGGCAGTCAACAATTCATTCCAAAAATTAACATAAAGAAAACACCCGATAGAAATATAGAAGCCTGGTCACATTCACTCCTCCAGAGTACTCGATATTCCTCGGGGCGGGGTTATAAGCAACGCCTTCCTTTCACGCTAATAAATTACTTTTACTCTCCAGACGTCACACACTTACCACAGTGTGCTTGATATTTAACGGGGTGGGGTTAGAAACTAGTTTAAAATAAATAAAAAAATACCAGTTTTTTTAATCTTTGAGTTCAATTGAGTTTAATTCAGAATTTCAGGCACTCTTGCAAAGAACCTCCAGGTCGAAATGATCCAATTTTATGCTTAAAAACATACTTGCATGAACCTAAGATGATGGTTTTGCAATGAAACACTTTAATTAACTTTACAATAAACTTTTCTTTTTATTTCTCACACAATTTGTTTTTCTAATTGCAGGGAATAAAGAAGAGGAAGAAAACAAATTTATCGAGAACACCAAAGTTCCTCCGATATCAGGTAAACATTCTAAATTGTTCCCCCTTATTTATTTGGCACACAGAGGTATTTAGATAGTTAATAGTAATTATATCTTCCTGGTGTCGCAAATTTTAAATATGTTTATATGAATTTAGTAATACTGATATTCCTACATCTATAGGTCTTAACTATTTATGTGTGATTTGTATTTTGTATTTTTTTAAAGGAGAGAAGTTGATTTAGCATATTCAGACTAAAACGTTGTTCATTAATGTTTTTTTATTTTTACAGGAACACTGTTACAAATTATTTGCAAGTGGGTTTACTTAAATTGGGGTTGGTCTTGTACTCGTACATCTTCCCCGATCCAACTCAATATATCTTAATTGATCAAAAAGTTAAAACCGAGTCGGTTATAAACTATGAACAAAGAACCTCCAGGTCGAAATGATCCAATTTTATGCTTAACAACATACTTGCATGAACCTAAGATGATGGTTTTGCAATGAAACACTAATTCGATGAGCTACTGAACTTAGTCCTGTGTAATTCGGATGGTTTTGAAAATGCGAAATTTTACAATTTTGATGAAAATGAACAATTTGAATGAAAGTTTTTTGTCAACACTTCATTAAAAATAATAAAATTTTCCAGGAGGGAACTACTTATGTATCTGTTTTTTATGATCGTGAACAATTTCGGTAAACAATTTTATTATAAAACTATAAATTCAACAATAAGGATATTTTCAATTTGGCCCGGTTGTTCACTTGGGGGAGAGGAGAACGGGTTAAAGGGTCGTAGGTGAAGATCGATTCACCCCTTGCCCTGCCTTCGCACTTCTGCCGGCCGGCTTATAAAGGGCGACGAACTTTCATTTCGACCCTCGTTCAATCAAACAAGAATTCGGCGATCCGACCTAAAAGCTCTCTTGCTGATATCACGTCATTGCTGATCTTCTCATAATGCAGCGTTTTGCAGTCCTTGGCCAATGTTGGAATGTTGGTTAATTGTGTCAATTTTTAGACATATTTAAGACTGTTTTGCCCTGATGATGACCTTAAAACCTTGGTTGAAAACAATAATTTATTTTGTCATCCTGCACTCAGTGTATTTTTACGCTGAAAAAGCAGACATGCTCTCCATTGTACATCAACAGCAAAAAGATAGCAGTTTCCACTCAAGTCAAATACCTGGGACTATATCTCGACTGACGTCCTCACACAAGACATAAACTGAATACAAGAATTGAACTACTACGAAGACTTCTAAGACCGAAATCGACTTTGACAATTAAGACAAAGCTAACACTGCACAAGACTTTGCTAAGACCAATATGGACATATAGAGTGGAACTGTGGGACTGCCAAGCCTTCCAATATCCTGCGCATCCAGTCCGTCCAATCGAAAGTCCTTAGAGAAATTGTCAAAGCACCTTATTATATCACTAACCTCACTATCCACAAAGACCTCAACATTCCTTTTGCCAACGAACTAATCCAGTCCAGATTCCAAACCTTTCACACCAACCTTTCGCACCATCCTAACCATACTGCTCGAGCCCTCTCCACTCATTCCCATCCTGACAACCCACCACGTCGCCTCAAACGACGGTAGCCTCAGGACCTCCTTGACCCCTAATCGTCCGCACTGAGTGCCCGCAATGGCTGGCTGCTCAAAGCATGTGTTCTACCGGTGCAGTGCTGGCATTAGTGCTAGTATTTTGCTGTGTGACACATTAATCATGTGTACATATTTGTATAGTATACTACCATGTATAGGTAACAAAAAAAAATTCATCCAGACCATATCGAGATCCAAATTACTCGTTCTCATAAGAGAGTGGTATTTGTCATTACTCATGCGAACTCTGACCAAGATTCGGTTCCTTTTCAACTATAAAATGAACTAAAAGTTAACCAATAGCTTGAGCTGTAATAACTTTGAATCTTTTAATATTATTTTCACGTACAAGTTTTAAATGTTTCAAATGAATTTGAAGAAATTAAGATATAGATGTATGTACTGTAGTAGGTGGAGGTAAGATGAAGATAGTTGAATTCAACCTTTATTCAATATAAACATAAGAAGAGCATTCGCGTGCCTCATGACTGGTCTTACTCTCTTTTGTACTCATTTAGGATCCGTTTTTGAACGTGTCCTTTTTTTGTGGCAAGGTGATAGGCCACAGTAGGGTTCGGGGGAGACCTATGCCAGGGTCACGTGTAACTGACTTCTACCTGGGATTCCATTAAATTCCATACAACCTTTACCTCGCAAGTGGGTGAGCCAATGTGTCGCCTGATTGTCCTAAAAATGGCTCTCTTCCTGGAATATGTTCCTAGTCTTTTTATTTTTCTGGTGCTGTGTTCAATTATTATGATTTCAAACTGGAAAACTGTGGCATGTTTGGCTAAGTCTGCCCTAGTACTCCAGTTCCCGTGGCTCTATCTGTTTTCGAGTGTCACCATAGCAGGAATTGGCCTTTAGAAGTATTTCTATCAAGGTACTCTTCCCTTTCTGGTATAAGTACAAGTTTCTGGTATTGAGAGTAGTGACATTGATTGACATGCCGATCATGGTATCTGCTTAAATGTATGATAGCTGAAACAACCCATCCTTGCAGATGGTTGCCCGTTTATGAGTCTGTTTAATAGCACTTAGGCCGCAGTTGGCCTTGTTCCCATGCCTCTGGTGATACTGAGGCTTGTTTTTTTTTTTGTATCCGGCTCACTCTTTCCTTCTCAACGAAAGAACCCGTTAACCCCATGAGTCAAATCTATATCTCCTGTCACTATTATTTTATGTATTGTTATTAATGACGTGAAGTAGATGTCACAATTGGAAAACAATACCAGCTTCACATTTTTCATAAATTTTCTAATAAAAACAAAAACCTAGAGGAAGAGTTTTATCACGGAGGTTTATTTATGTTTTTATGAAGCTTTATCGAAACACATTTTTCTACGTTGTAATCCGGCAGTGTAATTTTGAAATAGGCCATGAGAAGAAATTGCCTGCTTCTCTGTTCGGACAATGGCCGAAGGAGGGAAATGTAAATCTGCTGGGGAAAAGAATAGTGCAGAGGGATTAAAATAATTCAACCGGGCCCATCTGCCTAATACCAGGCCTGATTCATAAATTAAATGTAAAAGCGGAGGTTTATTTATAAAAAATAATATTTCTTTATTCTTTATCGTTTCAAATTTAATGAATCTTGGACTGGGTTTTCCTTTTTTCTTCTACATCCTCTGTTAATATATATTGAGGGGAAATAACAGTCTAACAAATATCACAAAAGATAATGCAATTGGTAATTTCATTTGGTTTGGATAAAAGTTGCGACAATTTTGCAAACGTTAAGGGTTATAATATTGAAAAAATCAACCTATGCCTTCAAAAATAGGCTTAACAAATTTCATAATAGAAAGAACTATAATGGAAAACTACGATTTAAAAAAATTATTTATTTCTAATCTCTACATATCCATTATATTTAGTGGTCCAAATTACTTTTTTCAATTGCTTAATATTTTTATGTAAGGTTTTTGCCGAAATGAAAGCCTAGTGCCACGAGCGGGATTCGAACCCACGACCTTCGGCTAAATACGCCGCTGCTCTACCATCGAGACTTTGATCCACTCGGACACCAGTGAAAAAAATTGAAAAATCGCAAAAAGAGGGAAAATTCGAAAGGTTGTAGGTAGAGATGGGGAGTTGGTGACCGAGAGGATCGAAGTCATGATAGCTCAAATGGTTGAGGCAGCGGCGTATTTAGCCGAAATTCGTGGGTTGGAATCCCGTTGGTGGCACTGGCTTTTTCATTTCGACCAAAACCTTACATAAAAAGATTAAGTAATTACGATATATGTTTTTTTTTTCTCTCGGACACAACACTTACACTGGCCAGCAAGGAATGCACAGGTTAAGGGAAACCAGGCAGCGCTGGCATTCAATGCGAGGAGTTAAGTCACGACGAGGTCTTAGGATGGGAAAGTCTAAGGACTTGGGCAATAGGAATCTAATGGATTTGTGATGCACAAAAAGGAATTATGATGTTATTATGGATAGTGGGTATGGTTGGTGAGTAAGGAGCTTTGACAATTAATCAGAGGACTTTTGATTGATAGGTTTGGATTCACTGAAAATTGGATGGCATAGCGTTAGCCAGCAAAACGGCCCGCAGTAATGTCTTGTATAGAGTTGAATTTGGACAGTCATGAGAGATTTCGGTCCTAAAACCTATGATAGTTGTCCTATTCTTCCATTATTTTTTGTCTCTTAAGTCTTGTGTAGGTATTCATTATATATTTTTCTCATATTGTCCTTCTCTTTTTGAACCAGTCTGCGATAAGCATAAGTTGTTATTGGTTGTTGAAAATCACTTAGTTGGGATTCGAGTTACAGGACAGAATTGCAGTATCGTAAGCGCAAGTAGTAGTAGTAGCATCAATATAAATGATATAGAGGATGGGAACAAGAATACTTGTGGGATTTTTGAGACTAGTTCCCGCACCTCACTCTGCATAAGGAAATGCTATTACCTCTTGATTGCCAGTAAAGAGGGGTGTTTCTCGGGGTTCCGTCCTTGGCCCCTTCTTTTCTATCCCTACTTTTATGATCAACCGCAAAAAAATAAGTTCTGGCCATCGCATACTTTCTGTCAATGACGCCATGAACAAGCAATGGCTACGGACGTTTTTTTCTCAACGTTAAACTGTAAAAGCGACAGCCCTCAGACCTAATAGATCCGGCATATCAATACAGTTTTTTAACAACAATTATGCTAATAAAAACGCTTATAATTGATTTATAAAAAGTCTCTACTTTAACGGTTTTAGATTGAATTTTATAATAATTTTGGCTACTGTTTTGAAGGACATGGCTCTACAAACTACCAGTTTTCTTAGTAGAAAAAATGGGAATGCTGTGATAATTTGGCTGAGGACTTTTGATTCATAGGATTGGATAGAACTTTGACAGTCTAGGTAAGTAGCTGACTTGAGTGAAAGTCGGTGGCTCCTTGATGAAGTACGGTG